GACCTCCTTTCCATCCTGGCCTCGACCTCGGCTTCGTGCGGAGCTCGTGGCTTGTTTGGGGGTCGAGGGTCGTGGTTGAGGCTAGGGGGGGGGGGGGGGGGGGGGGGGGGGGGCACACCCCCTACCACTGTCAGACACAAATGGGAAGTGGTTTGGGCAGAGAGTGAGAGCAGGGTTGGAGGAGTTGACTACTACGTGCCAGATTCATTTCGATGTCATTGATTCGAAGAAAAAATGGCACCCAGTAGCTAACCCTCGTATGATGTCCGTGTACTGACTGGCAGCGTCGAACGACCGCATACTTCCAGCAGAGGGACACACAAACAACATTAAACAAACACTCACATAGCTTGAAATCATTGTTTTATCGTTCCACTTACAGACACATAGACAAAAGCACAACCATCATGTCGATGTCAGCGGCGCAGGCGAGGGCAACTCTTCAAAAGGTGATGCAATACGCGGAGGAGGGCATCCACTACGATGACGACGGGAGCTTGAACTACTCATGGAGAGAGTGCCGAGTTACTTCGATGTCAGTGTGAACATTCGTGCAAGCATCGCTGCGAACAGAGAGGAGCCGCTCAGAGCACGGATGTTATTGGCACGGTTCACTGAGGCGCATGATTTGCGTGTAGACAACAGTGTTGATACCAGTAAATACAATTTGAGAAAAGTGGTTGGTTGGATGTGCACAGAAGGGATGCCCGATGAAGGCGACGTGGATATGACAAAGCAGCAGAAGGGGGGAACATACATGCCAGCCGATTTCAAGCAGACGCTGATGGCACAGGCGAAGAAATGGGGAATGGTTGTTGAAGATTCTAAGAACGAGATGAAGAGCGGTGCAGCAGAAATTTTAGTACTCTCGCGTTTGAAGGACATACCGCAAGCTCCCCCGCAAGACTTCCAAGATCTTCCAGTAATTATCGCAAACGGGGTGGAGTATGTTTTACTCGACCAACTGGTGGATTTTATGAAAAAGAAACCTGACGATCGGAATGTCATACATGAGGCATTGCATGATGTGACAGAGCAAGCACTGGCGGGCAAGGACCTCATTAACTACAGGGTTCGGAGAGTGGACGAGGATGTCGCATGTGGTACTCCATTGTGGGATGGAATATTCATGGCAGCTTTGCATCACCTCAGTATTGCGACTTCTGAGGTGGACGGAAATAGGTCAAGGGAAGAAGGATGGAAGTTGGTGTTCAGGGAAGCAGATGTTGCACTTCATGCAGCAGATGGACACACTTCAGCAGGGGAAGAAATTGTGAGAACAGTCTCCATCGTGCGTTCTCCAATAAACACAACGTCCACGTAGTAGGTAGAAGAAGGAGATGTGTTCAATGACTGGACATTGACAGAACAACAATGGGAACGAGGATTCGAAGACTCTTCTTTAACGATCGATTTCGAATATGACATTGAAGAAACAAGAGTGAGGAACAATGAAAAAGATGCGAGGGCGCCTAACTATGAGGTGGAAGTGAGTGGCAACGATGTGAGCAGCGACGAGGAGGGTAAGGAATATGATGCTTACTGGGATATGGAAGCAGGGGGGGGACAAGCGTCGAAAGGGTGGACACATACGATTCTTAGGTTGACACGTGTATTCTCTAATCCCCATTTACTGTTGCGTGTCGTGCTGAAGGAGGCAACACCTGAGGGCGCACTCCAGTATGCAGCACTGACGCTCGAACGGAAGAAGATGGTCACCTATGGGGAGTCATGGTTTGTCTTGGTCAACAGAGAGGCTGTCCTCGCAACATCACTTACGTGGGGCTTGGACCTTGGTTGCCTCTTGCACGGGGTTGTAGCCAGCGGTTCTGGTGCTACATTGCACCCACACTATCAACGGGAGAGGAAATACTTCGTGCTCACACATGGCTTGACTGCGCACCAGAGACCATGGTGGACAGTGGTGATACAGACATTGGTAGTGGACAGCGTTGAATGCAGTTGTTCGATGCACATGCTATGCATATCATGATTAATTCTGCACATCCGTCATTGCACGGAGTATGTGCAATATTTTAGGTGTTCGAGTGCTCGACAACGGTGTACATGCTCTCTCTCTCTCTCTCTCTCTCTCTCTCTCTCTCTCTCTCTCTCTCTCTCTCTCTCTCTCTCTCTC